CTGATTCTATGGCCCTTCTCTGAGTGAGACCAGAGCCAGAAATGACATCACACACACAAAATACATATGGCCAATATCCATCACCAATCTATACTCAAAATCATAAACCAAATACTGGTCAATCCTATCCAGTGGCATGATAAAAGGACTATATACAATGCCAATCCCAGGAATGTAAGGGTGGTTTAACATCAGAAAATTAATGTAGTCATTAATATTAATCATATTAATAGAATTACTAATATTAACAGAACAAAGAACACAGAGATTTGATCATCTCAGTGGGTGTAGAAAAAGCATGTGACAGAGTCCGGCACATACAACTGCCTGGGGGATTATTAGAAATACAACACTCGGACTAAGTCAGACTCCATCTTTAATGTCTTCCTTGGGTGATTTGGATCACACTGAAGTTGGAGAAGCGATGCACTCTGAGACTCAACACTCTTAGATGAAGTCTGTGATCCTAGCCCAGTTGTTTCTTTTTGTTAATCAAGACTGCTAAACGTGTTGACATAAAGCATCTGCTCTTCATTTTGGAAGGTGGGGTGGAGGGGAAAGGCTGGCCAGTAAAATACACTGAAAAAGAAACTGCTCTGAGCGCCAGGCATTGACAGTCCTCGTTGCTTGAAATTATATTTGGTCCATTTCCTTTTCTGGGGCTCAAGGCTTAGCATCTTTCCCAGAAATGCCAAGAGCCTCCCTACAGGGAACAGGGGCCAGATTAAAATACACTGCAGCTCCTGGAAATAGCTTTGACCTTTATTTGCGTACGCCTCAGGAGGGGCAGCTCTGGGCAGCTGGGAAAGCAGCACCTTCCCCTCACTCTTGCCAACCTGAGTTTTGAGCTGGCGGGTGGGTTACCTGGTGTGGTGCGGTAGGAAAGATGATCATAAAGGCTTCCTCAGAGCACCCTCCCACCCCCCGGGGAGCAGGTCACACCTGGTGGAGATAGGGAAGCTGGCTGTCTGGTGTAGGCTTGGGTTTTCTCTCAGAGTGTGGCCAGGGCGATCTCAGGAGCAAGAAGGGAAAGAGGTCGCTCTGAGGCACTGGTCTTGGGGACATTGCTGGTGAGACCCCGGGAAGAAAGCCTGTGTCATAATTGCAGTGTGCTCTTTTACAATTGCCTATCAGCTGACCCAGGAAGTCCACATCTAGAATCCTAACCTGAGGAAAGATCAGAGATTCTGACAAAGCAGGAGTCTGTCCTCTCAGTGACAGCTGTCAGAGCAAGACGTTCCCAGTGGGATGCATGTCGTCTCGGCGGGGGGCGGGGGGGGGGGGGGGTGAGAAATAATAGAATTTGCCTATGATGTTTGAAACTTAAAGGTTTAAGAGAAATGCTTTTCTGGTATGAAAAGGGCCATTGACCTTCACCTCCTCTCTTGGCTCCTAAATCAGTCACTTGTCTTGTGAGTTCTGCTGGGGAAGAGTGTCCATCTCACAGCATGCAACCGGTGGACATAATTTGTAAATGAATATTAGGGTGTTGAAAATTCTTTTCTGGTGGGTGTGAGACACCCTGTGGGGAGATGACCAGGGGGCTGTGCCCCAGGTCCAGAGTGGAACCACATACACATGCGACCCTGGATTTCCCTGTGCCCTCGCTTAGGGGCCAACTTCAACTTTGGCTTTTTTTTTTTTAAGATTTATTTGTACATACAGAACTGGGATACAGGCCAGAGGCGCAGGGACAGTGAGAGGATTCACCACACACAGAGCGGGGAGCAGAACAGGCAGATCAATGAAGTCCACTGCTGAGGGGAGCAGTAGGCGGGTCAGGAGAGGTCTGCCGTGCCATGGGCTGGCGGGAATCAAACTCATGCTGAAGTAGCTTTAGCTTCTTACTGCTGTGCTTTAACCTGCTATGCCAACAGGGAGGGCCCAACTTTGGCTTCTTAATGGGAATTGGCACTGTTTCAGCTGATGGATGATTTCTTGCCCTTTCGTTCCAACACTGTTTTGTAAGAGCCTCCGGTATCTAGGTAAAACCTGTGACCCCCTCAGCAGATTTCACATCACACCTCTCTTTAGCCATGTTTTGCCACCTAAACCTTCTGCTCCAGTCTCGTTCAAGGCTGCAGAGGAGTCCCAGTTAACATCTTGCTTTCCATCGCAAGAAAAATCTCATAGTTAGGTGCAGGACTGTGACAAAGGGAAAACACAGCTTACTAGCAAAACTTTCTCATCCATCAAGCAACTAGCCACAGCTGCTGAAGAAGACTGGCCAAAGGCCCCCCCAGGAGTGCTTTCTTTCCTCTAGATGCATTTCCCCCGAGTTTTCTAGTATGAAAGGCCCATCTTTTAAATAATGTCCTCTTTACATAATCCTTTCGAGAAAGGCTTGGTTGGTACATGGATTCCTTGTGCATATTAAAACTGTAAATAATCTTGTCATTTGGAATAAATTTCTTAATGTGCATGTCGTAATTGAATTCACCCCTAATGAGTGTAGCATTACCTCGTGACAAAGGTGGGTTTGCTCCTGTTTTCTGATCGCCTTTGAATGTCGCCTCGAGGTGACCTGAGCGCTGAGGATGTCAGTAAGGGCTGTGCATTGATTTTCAGACACAAGGACCGTCCGCAGTGCAGCTCCAGACACGCCCCCTGGACCAACAGTCTTCAACAGCGCGATGGCTGAGACCAAGGTGAAACGCATGAGGGAGTAAGTAGCACGTGGCCGGACCCTGGGAGAGGGCAGCGGCCCTGGGAGAGTGCGATCCGGTCTTGCAATGCTGTTTTACTTCTCTCCACAAAGACCATTGCAGTAACTTCCTAGATGGCCAGTGAGTGCCTGGATCTATATGGAAGAACTGCTATTTATTGTCTGAGCGAGAGCCTCCCATTCATATCTTGAAATCCTTAACCCCCTTGTGGTTTTAGTAGGGGAGACCTTAAATCATTGGGAGGTGCTTAAATCATGAGGATGGAGCTTCACGAATGGGATTCTTGCCCACTGGCCTAGTGATTATCAGACCAAAGTATAATCAAATCCAAGATGAGGAATTTTGGTCAGGTCATTGGGACAGGGCTTTCTAAAGTCTCGGGTAGGAAAGTGTTCTGAATTTAGGTCATTTTTTAGTGAAACTTTTGGGATGGGTTCTGAATTTAGCATGAGTGGCAGGCAGAAGAATCCAGACTGCAGCGTGGGGGGTCACCAGCCACGGAGGGTCTCATTTTTCCATCATCACCAAATGACCAAGCCAGACTGTTTCGTTTTCACCCAGGAGTCTCAAGACGGTATCTTAGAGACAAATGGAGTCTTTGACTCAGAACGGGTTCCACGGCACCTTTTAAAAGAAGCCAGAGAGAAATCCCTAGCCCCTCAGGTCTCATGAGGACACAGGGAGATAGCCCCAGCTCTGAACCAGGAAGCAGGAGGCCCTCACCAGGAGGCTGCCTTGCTGGGGCGTGGACTCCCCAGCCCCGGGCCCCGGGAAGTGAATGCCTGTTGTCTGTAAGCTGCCCAATCTGTGGTACTTTCTACAGCAGCCCAAATGGACTGACAGCACTTGCTACAGACGTCTTGGCAAAGAAAAGACACCCAGCCTCCTGCTCTAACTTCTGTACAACTTGTGTTGTACGTGAGTAGATCAGGGTTGGCAAACTCTCTGTAAAGGACTCGACAGTAAATATTTTAGTCTCTGCAGGCCACAGCGTTTCTATCACATTCCCCATTCTGCCGTTATTGTGTCAACACCGCCAGACAATATATAAATTAGTGAACACGGCTGTGCTTCAATAAAACGTTGTTTTCAGGCTGTGGTTTGAATGCCATCGAATGTCCAGGTATCACAAAATAGTGTTCTTTTGATTTTCTACAGTCATTTAAATGTGTGTGATGGTGAGCCAATGTTTTGTGGCTGACTGCCGACCCCTCAGCGAGGTGTTCCAGCTCAGAAACTTCTCTTCCAAATCTGCCTCTAATATTGGTGCTGGTTGGGAAGTTTGGCAAAATTATTTTTCAGTCAATTTGCATTTATGTTGTTCTTGCAACACAGCGCATTATTTAAAAGCAAAAGAGGAAAAGTGTGCGGAAAATTATTTTCAGACCTAAAGCTGGTAATGTGTTTAGATGCTTATTGCTTTCAAGTTCTGTCTTTGCTTAAGTGAGCACATAGTAACACAGTTACCATGGGAACAGGCGATACTCAGAACTGAGTGAGGAGTTTGGACAAAATTCCTGTTTCCCCCCCCACACACACACACTTACTTCTAATTTCTCCTCTCTAGGAGAATATTATGGAGAAGTTTCCAGTAGATAATCTTCAGGAAATAAAGCAACTCTCTTATTTCACGTTTAACATTTAGAAAAATTTGGTAGTATTGGTATCTGAGTTTTAACCTGGGCGTTCATTGCTTTGCTAAAGAATTCCATTACATGGCATGAAATGCTTTAAGTAATTAAAACAAAAGCGTGTTTGTCAAAATAGTTGAGGTAGGTGCATCCTAATGGTTTCAGCCCTGGTATATAGTTTCTTTCTAATTGCTGGTCTGTATTTGAACAGGTGTTTTGGGGCTCATGTTGTAACATAGACCGATGCGCTGGGTCTACAGCCCACGGCTAGTGTTGCTCTCCTGGTGAATGTCCTGTTGTTTTGGGGTGGTGCCCTCTGCAGCCCAGTTTCTAATGGGAGTATAAGGCCTCTAGGCTCTCCACACCCACAAGCAATACTAGAACTCTAGCAGGGTATCTGAGAATTCAAACCAGTCCTGACACCACCCAGAAATAGCAAGAGATTCCATAGGTTAAAGACACAGAAGAGGGAGGATCTTGTGATTCTTCCAGTACCCTGTGAGCTACTGATTGTGTGCTCAGCTTGGGACAATTAGTGATATTTGTCCCCAGGGAGACTGTAGATAAAGCATCAAAATTGAAAATGAAAAGCTAAATAACAACACAGTAGATACATAATATGAGGTGGTGGCCATATACCAAGCAAGCAGATGTTGCAGCTTCAAGGCCAGAAAAGGGAAGTTGAGGAGGCCTCAAACAGAATCAGGAACTTGGCCTTGGCCTGACCCAAGAGGTAGCGTTTGGATAGGTATAGAGAAGGGGAGAGCACAGTGAGCGTCTGTGTAAGTGCTTCACCAAGTGTGAACATTTGATAATTTGCACAATGTCTCTACATCTGAATTAAGTGTTTTTAAATTATTGTCATTATTATCAATAGGTCATTTGAGAGAAAATTTCATTCCTCATGATTCATCACTCTTAAATATTTCAGTGTGCAGCTCCTGAGAACGAGGCATCCTCTTGTGTAGCCACCGCCAGTGATCGTATTTAAGGAATTTCATGTTGACATGTATTATTTAGTACATCAACCATCTTCAAATTTAGCCAGCTGCCCCCCTGTCCTCTATAGCACTTTCTTTTTTATTATTATTATTTATTACAAAAGTTTATTTTTACATCATTTTGCACATTTTTTTTTCCATCTCGATAGTAATCCCCGCGGGTTTCCCATCACCAAATCACCCCTGTGCCACCACCATAGTCCCGTGCATTTCCCTCCCTTCCCCCCCCCCGTTTTTGATCCCATTCCCCACTCCACTCCTGCAAAATGTCTCTGGTATATGGCTGTTCATTATTTTTGTTATTTTCTCGCCTGGTCCATTATACTCCTGCTATGAGTGAAACCATCCGGTATTTTTCTTTCTCTTTCCGACTTATCTCACTAAGCATGATCTTTTCCAGCTCCATCCAAGTTGCTGCAAAAGACATGTGTTTCTCTTTTTTGGTTGCTGAGTAATATTCCATTGTATATATGTACCACATCTTTTTTATCCAGTCATCTACTTTTGGGCATTTGGGCTGCTTCCATGTTTTTCCAATTGTAAACACAGGAGCAATAAACATGGGGGTACAAGTATCTTTTTCAATCAGTGTTTTTGTGTCTTTTGGGTAGATACCTAGGAGTGGGATTGCTGGGTCATAGGGAAGCTCCATGTTTAGCAGTTTGAGGAACCTTAAACAGTTTTCCATAGTGGTTGTACCAGTTTGCATTACCACCAGCAGTGCAGGAGAGTTCCTTTTTCTCCCCATCCTCGCCAACATTTGTTGTTGCTGTTGTTTGAAGATGTATAGCACTTTCTTTTTAACTGACCCAGATAATACATGGTGTTGGTTGCTCTGTCTCCTGGTGTCATTTATTCTGGGAAAGTTCCTCAACTTATCATTGACATTTTTGAAAAATACAGGTTCTTTATTTTGTAGAATGTCCCTTAGTGTGGGTTGGGTACTTCCTTGTGTTTAGACCCAGGTTATATATATGTGCATGTGTGTATGTGTGTGTGTGTTTGTATCCTGTATATATGATGTTGTATCCTTCCACATTTTTATTTACTTTTTTAAAAGATTTCTTATTTATGCATATAGAATTGGGGTACAAGCCAGAGGTACAGGGACAGTGAGAGGATTCACCAGAGACAAAATGGGGAGAAGAATAGGCAGATCAATGAAGTACACTGCTGAGGGGAGCAGCGGGCAGGTCAGGAGGGGTCTGGCTGAGCCATGAGGATCACCTCCGGAGTGGGGATCGAACTAGCACTGATGCGGCCACAGCCAGCTTCTCAGTGCTGCACTCCAGTCCACTCCACACCAGGGAGGACCTCCTTCCAAATTTTTAAAAATTAAACTTGAGACCCTTACTGGTGGCGCAATGAATTAGGACACAGCACTGTAAGTGAGCAGCAGCTGCTTCAGTATGGGTTTGACCCCTGGCCCCAGAGGTGATCCACATTGCGTGGCAGATCTCTCTTGTCTCGCCTGATGCTCCCCTCAGTCTAGGTCCATCTAGACTATGTGAATTTTAACCTGTTCTTTGACCTCTTGCCTTGGAAGTCCACAAAGCATCTCAAGCTCAGTGAACTTCTGATTTCCCAGCCCTGTCTTCTCTCTCCACAGTCTTTCCCCTCTTCAGATAAGAAAGGTGCAGTCTAGGTTAGAACAGGCTCCCAGTCAGTCATCAGGGCTCGTGGTGGTGTAAGGGTCTTGGGTGAGTGACTTCATCATCTGCTGTACAAAGCTCTGTAAGGAATTTGGGAAGCAATACCTGAAGAGATAAGTCCTCTCAGTTGGGGACCCTAGGGCTTAGAGATCATCACCATATGCAGCATCCTGACCTAGTGTGGTGGTCAGGAGGGATGGGGACAGGTGGGATCATGTCCCTACTTCTCATCACTAGTATTTGTCCCTGGGTGAGTCACCCACCCTGCTTGTGCCTGAGATTTCTCATCTGTAGAGTGGGGCTGATAGTGGTCCCCACCTCACTGGACTGCTGTGAGGGTTAGTTGAAATAATGAGGGCATTGAAACATACTTCAGCTAGCTCGTGGCACGTAGTAGGTGCTCAGCAAATGCTAACAACTCTCAATGTGCACATGGTGGTTTCCTCTCAAAAAGCCCCACACCGAATGGCTCAAGCTGTTAGTGGGTGTAAGTCTGTTAAGTGAAGGCATCTGTGGGTGAAGAAGTCGCCTGTGAAGACATACATAGCATTTTTTAAAGCATGCCAACAGAAGTGCCGGTTCTCTGGGAAAATGTCATGAAGTTGTTGGATATAAAAGCCAAACGCTTCTCATCCTCCAGCATTTGGCTTCCTGTCGTGGCCATTTTTCCCTCATGCTGGAAGACCACTCCACAAATGAAACTCCCCATACTGGG